CATTAATAACGGGATGTTTATCCCCACTCCTTCCCCAGTGCGGCGAGGCTCAACCGCAAAAATGGAGGCCAAGCTCCTCCTCCTCTCCTTCCCCTCCCCACCCACAGCTATCCACCTGCCGCCACCGCCCCCAAATCTCTATTCATCGGCGCCTCCCTTTTGCAGCTCCTTTGCCCGCTGCTAGCACTGCCCATCCGCCTTGGCTCGTGGTGTTGGCGCACGCGACCGCCATGAAACAGTGTTCCATGCGCTAATGCCTAATTCATATTCCCTCTGTTCCAAAATAGATGATTCAATTTTATATTAACTTTATACTAAAGTTAATACAAAATTGAGTCATCTGTTTTGGAACGGAGGCTTAATAAACTAAATAGCATGCACGTTTCCTCTTCGATGTCTATCGAGGAAGAACATGTATTCTCATGTACCATTTGGTGATGTTCACAGAAGGTGGGTTTTGTGCTCTGGGAAGTAGATTCATGCTCCCTTTATTTTAGAAAAATATAAAGTTTAGTTGGGAAGTTTTTTATAAAAAATATGGCCCGCGGATATTCAGGTGAGCCATGAGATTGTAAAATTTTGTGGACAAATGCTTTCATTTGCGGCTTGGGTGAAAAAAAAACAAAAGTGGAGAGCTAGAATAGCAAATCTTCTTTTCAATAGTATTTGGTTTGTTATTTTTGCACAACTTGGAAAAAGAATGGGTTTTTTTCATGAAATTTGAAAAAAATGATTCATTAGCATTTAGTATTTTTTGGATATTAGTTTTCGAAAAGGGAGCATTTGCTCTGAGCACACTTGATGGTTTACCGATATTCGCACACTTCCTAAATTGTATTCTGAAGAAATTGTCTTCTTTTTATTTTTTTAAGAAATTATAAATGCTATTTTTTTGGGAAATGAAGAAATGTTCATAGTAGGAATGGGAAGGAACAGCAGCATTTTCATTCAAATAACTTAGCTGGCTGCCTTCTGTATTTTCTACTTTTTTTTAACTTGAGCTGGCCTCCTGACTAGAGGAAGTGGATAGTGAACAGCCCATCAGCATAAGCCATATTCGGGCCCAACAAAGCCAGGCCGAGAGCCCAGCCCATGACCCCACCTCAAAAATATCGCCCATAACCCCCAAAAAATATCCACTCAGAACGGGAGGTTTATCCCCACCCTCTTCCTTCTCCCCACCGCCGCGGCGAGCTCATCCGAGCCGCAAAAATGGAGGCCAAGCTGCTGCTCCTCTCCTTCCCCTCCCCGCCGGCCGCCCCCCACCACCCGCCGCCCCCCAAATCCCTATTCCTCGGCGCCTCCCTCCCGCTCCACCCGCTGGCCGCCGCGCCGCCGCCGCCGCCGCTGCG